GTAACAAAAGTTGCAAATATTTATTTCTATAACTGAATTGTAAATGGAAATAGTAGCTATACAGAATAGTGGAAGAAATAAAACTTCCTTGTTCTTTGTTTTAAGTTACCATGATTTAGAAGAGATGTTTTGTCAACACAAATGAATGTATATGCTATTTAAAAATTAAAGGTTCTTTGTGGATAATTTCAAATATGGTCTATCTCTTTTTTATATTTAACTAGAGGAACATGTAATTCTGTCATACTTTTATGAATGGGAGCACATCAAATGGTCTTTATGACAAAAATAATTAGGAATCACCTAGCTTCAAGGACTCTATTGTCTATTACCATTTTTAGGTTCTTGTTTTCTACTTTATTTTAATAATTCAATTAAATATACACTGAATAATTTCTGCCTAAATGGGAAAACTAAAATAATAAATAAATAGTGCCATATCCCATTTTCAACTAGAAGAATGTAGACTTTGAAGATTAAAAATTTGATGTATTTATACACTTTAGAAACACAGGAAAAATATATACTTATACCATCATTAATATTTTAACATTTCATGTTCTTAGGATTAGATCAAAGGCTTAACTGAAATAATTTTGTCAGCATGATGTCTTTTTATCTTACCCCGGAAGCCTTTCCAGAAATGACTGATTCCTTTCTGTTTCCCCTACTCTTTTCTATTTTAAATTACAATTTCCCTACCCAACTCCACAAACCTCCCCTTAGTTTCCATCTTAAAAGATGCTAGCATTGCAAACAGTTTTATTTGAACATTTTCTAATCTTATTTTAGAACCTTTGCCTTATAACTCAATTAAGCAAGATGAATAATAGGAAAATAACAAAATCTGGTGAAGTCAGTGGATGAATAAAATATTAAGATCTTGGAAAAATAAAGACAATCCCTAACTTTTCACAGAACTTAACTGGAATTTTACTTCTGTTATCAATTTTTAGACAGTGTTTAAAAGCTAGTTTAAGTAATAAATGAGTTATTATGTAGGAATCCATATTTAATTTACACGAAGAACAAATTTCTGAAGTTTGAACTCACAACTTATCAACTTTTTAGCCTTAGTTTAATTCTACCTCTTTTGGCAGGTCACAAATCTTTCTGCTTCCACGAATGTTTACCCTGCTTGTTAAAGCACACTTAAACCTTTTTTCTACTCTAATACTTATGGAACAAGAAATACTAAAAACCACTGTACAGTGGCATGCCTGAGACACAAGGATAAACAAAATTCCTTCCCTCAAGGAGCACAAGTTCTTATAGAAAAGATAAGACTTGTCCACATATAAAGATAATAAAAGCAGCAGATGATAAATTCCATAAGAGAGGTGCAGATAAATTGTTATGAAGGGGAAAGGCTAAGGAGATTATAGGACATAATAAGGTTATAGAATAGAAACAAGTTGTTTCCTTACAAAGGTAAATACAAAAAAAAAAACCTGTCTGTTCAGTATGTCTCTTGAATACATGAGACTGCTTTATTTATTTATTTATTTATTTATTTATTTATTTGCTTTAGAGTCCCATGAAGCTCTATTGATGTGTTTATGTGATAGAGAGTTGATGGACACGTGAGCAAGTTTTTTTCCAAACTAACTGGGATGAATAATAGTGAGAAATTATTGTGCTATACCTGGAAAATATCATTTTAAGGTGCTGGGGTAGTCTGTGCTTTGCCAGAACATGACACATATTAACAAAGCTATTTTTTCATGTGTGAGGTTAATACTAATGTTAAACTTGATGAAAACAGATGGGTAAACAACTTTTTGGAATATTGAATTACAAGTCTCTTTTCAAATCCAGCTACTTAGTGTAGGAACCTGTATAATCCAGTTGTAAGATTTTCTTTGCTGAATGATGATCAGGAAAATTTTATAGTTTTGATTTGCTTATAAAACTTGAGGAGTTATCAGACATGGTATTTTAAGAACCTGAAAACAGAGGGTATTTAAAATGTATAGAAGGAAAGCTTTTCCAACACGAGACAGGTGGTGTGATTTGTTTTGATGGGCCCTGTGTTCCTGCCTGGTCCAGCTCTTTCTGTGCTCTTTCTATACGGATTGGAATAAACCAAAAATGAATTTATTTTCAAGCAGAGAGATTTGGGACTTAAAACTCAAATTTGGCTACTCTGGTTTGTAGATGTTATAATTAACACCACTTTAACTGTGTCATTAAAAGCTTCTCAAATCAGGTAAAGTAGGAACAGGGATTCATTTGCATCTATAATTGAGGAGTCCACAGTTCAAATTTACACAGATGCAGACATAGGGGCTCAAAAATTACCAGCACTCTAGGCAAAACTGCCCTCTGAGTTATGTCATTTACAGGCTCCAGTGATGGCAGAGGTCTAATAAAATGTGTTGGAGGGAGACCTCCTGCATTCCTTCTGAGATACACTCTGTCTGAACTAAAGAGGGCTTATGACTATCATGCTCAACCAATCTTAATAATGGGATTTCCATTTTTTCCCAGGCTGGGGCAGAGTGATTTATTCATTTCTGGATATTGTACTAATTTCCCATATCAAGTTTATTATTTGAGAACTTGGAAAAGTCAATAGACAATCAGAGAGAGAAAACATTCTCTAGTGCAATGCTCCAGAGGCCCAAGGAACTCTCTGTTCACAAAGAGTAACTAAGAACTCTAGAACAGTCCATGTTGAAAGCATTATATGTGAAAACATTTGTGTATATGTGTCTGTGTATGCAGAACAGTTGTAGAAAAATATAAATTCACATAGTAATATCTACAAAAAAAGACGATAAATTCATTACAATCATACATACACAAAAAATTCAAGTAATAGTTTAGCAACATACTTATATTTTGATGTTTATGTATGAAACATTATTATTCATCTCTAATCCATGAAATTTCAATATTAATAATTTTAACATTACATATTTTTTCTTACATGGATTTTCTTTCTATTCTAAAATTTTCAACTACAATTAATAGTATGTACCAACTGGTGTGCATTTTTTATTTGTCTGCAGTTCTCTGTGTAGGGTTGTGGCACTCTTGACTTTCCCTGTCCACGTTAGCATCTCTATTTTGTCCTTCTTCAATTTATTTGTAGACAGTCTTGTTAGTCATACTTAATGGGTGTAGATTCTGACATTCTAAGGAGACACAAAATCACAGCACACTCCATAATCCTCTGGATTGTCCTGTCGTTCTGCCCTCTCTTCTGCAATAATACTGGCATTTTAGGTAAGGGGGTTGTTTTATATATCTTTTGGGACTGGGTTTCATGTGTATGTTCTTTGATTGGTAATAGTTTCCTGTAATTATCTCTGACTCAAAGATGCATATTTGCGAGGCTTTGGAGGGAGGAAAGGAAGGGGAAAATGATGGAAATATATTATTTTAAAAATGAGAGAAATAAATGAAAGATTTTAAGTACATATCTCACTACTATGTGGCTGGGTCAAACCAAGTAACATTATTAAGCTATCATTTGAAAAGAATCAATTGTTTTCAGTTGATTTGCATGAATGAAATAAGCTAAAGTTGTTTGGGTGGGGCTTCACTCCAGCCCCTGGCATACATGCTAAAATGTTTGAGTGGAACTTTTCATACCAGGCTCCCTCCCCAGGGAGTTGCCACAGTCCAGACTCCAGCTCCAACAAAGTCTGCCAAATGGTGAACCCTCCCCAGAAAGGGTCAAGACCACTCCCATAGGCTATTTGAACACCCCCCCCCCAGAGAACAAACATGTGGCCTTACCAGTTCTCATTTCCCCTCTCCTTAGTTTCCCCAAGGGCCACCCAGGAGCACTGGCATCCATTAAACCTGGGCCTTTTCTATGGTTTGATTTGGTCTGATTTGGAGGTTTGTCTGGCCATAAAAACTTTACAAAATAAAGCAGTTAATCTATTCTTGCTTATTCCTAAGACATGCTAAGAAAGATATGAGCTATAAAGGGTTGTTGGTATTAACTGTCTAGCAGCTAAATCTACTAAGAAACTTATTACTCTCCCCCATGACTACCTTCTAGAAACTCACTTATGTTTTATTGTTTGTTTTCTTTTTCATAAATATCTGTAACAATAAAATCGTGATAATGACCATAACAATAATAATAACAGAGCCTTTATTTTCTATTGTCAAGTCACTATGTTCATGTTTTCAGTATTTGTAGATGTTATCCAAATTGAGCTACATGGCTCTCAGCTTCACTTATTTATTGATTGTAAGAAGATAAGACCTATGAGGATGAGAGATAAGCCATCTTGGAGTCTGCTTTAAGGTACTGTCAAAAATCCTGATCATGCCTAGCCAATGAGGGGTGACCATGCAATGTCACCAGACTGGGATGCAGCCTGGGTGTTAGGAGGAGGGTATATAAGGAGGGTATATGAGTCTGCTGTTTGCCTTTTACCTGACTCCAGAGGTCTATGTCTTTAACTCTGTGCCTTTTCACTCCCTCCCCTGAGGGAATTTTTAGGACCCAGCAACATTTTGTGCCTGAACAGGGACTTCTGGCATGGTCAGGGTCTTATGTTTTTTTTTTTTTTCTTTTTTGTTGTGGCTGTAATTTTTGGGTTTTGCTTTTGTATGGTTTTGCTGTCACTGGTAGGCACTAGTTCTAGTCATCTTGTCACCCTCACTTGTGGCACTGGACAGTGACCCCCAGACTGTGTTTCAGTAGGAAGCTCTCTGATACTGTGTGTTTTCAATCTTTTCAGGAGTTAAGTGTTGGGATTTACCCATTTTTTTCCTTCTTTTGTGTTGTCTGTCATATTTGTCTGCCCATCAGGTCAGGAAGGCACATTTTTTTTTTTCTGTTTCTGTTCACCCGGTGTCTCCACATAAGGACTGAACCCTCAGGAATCAGAACAAAGGCTCAGCCCCAAATATGCTCCCTCATCCAGAGACACTGTGGGCATACAATTGTGACCTACAAAACCATGGAATTGCCCCCACTAATCTTAGAACATGAAGGTCTAACAAATTTTTTCACCCCTATTGACTGCCAGCTTTTTTCTGACTGTTGCTTGTCTGCTATCTCCGTCTACAAAATCGGTAACCTCTCCATCACGTCCACCCTTTCCATGTATGATCTCTCTAGGGCATCTGATGAGGAGGCAGACAGTTCAGGCCTTGCAAAACCTGCTGAGGAGAGTGTGGTCACAGTTAACACCACACGTGCCACTTCCGGTCACTTCTACTCTTGTGTAGGAGGCTATACCTCAGCCAGAGTACCCTTGGAGTAAAGTGCCTCAATGTCTGCCTGTCCCTGAAGGTGGAAATCCTCTCCCACTGCAGTATGATCCACAGCCAATGCAACCTTCCCTGTCTCAGGCCTTAAAGTCTGGTGGAAGCCTTGCCAGTCAACCTGCGACAAAATGCCACTAACCAGCCCTGGATTCCTACCCCCATAGCTGAACTCTCCCTTATCTAGAATGCGGCTAATGAGTTAGGCCTGGATTCGCCTTACTCAGAACATGTTTTCACAGTTAACACACACTTTTCAATTAAATTAGACAAGAGCAGAGGCGATGCCATTTGACTCTTCATTGTTTGGAAAGATTCGCCATGGTATAAAAAGTTATTTGATTCCTTTGGGATGTTCACAAATCCCTTAATTGGTGGGTAATATTGTTAATCTTCATTATAAACATATCCAACAGGAGCCGGTAGCAATTAATGCAACTCTTGGGGTGTTATTGACCCTTAGGCATCCTTCTCACAATCTCCACAGAGAGTTATGCAGGCTTGGTTATCTGAAATTCAAAAGGCTACTACCTAGTCCCCCCACCCTGGCAGCTCTCTAGGAATGGATGCTCTTTGAGGATTTGTAGTCAATGACAGGTAAGAGTTTGTTTGGTAGGTTAACCTAAGACAGGCACTGTCCAATTGCTGAGCCCTCTTGAGATGGGGTCAGCAATGCCTGAGCAAAGAACTCTGACTTCTTTTGAGTGCCCATGTAATAAATCACAAAGGGTGGATATGTAGGAAGATAAGCCCTATGAGGTGAAGAGATGAACCAATCTAAAGTCTGCCTAGGGATCTAACAACAGGTGTTGTTAGAGGTCCTGATCATGCCTACCCAATGAAGGGTGACCACACAATATCACCTGATCAAGATGCTCTTCCAATTGCTGAATAAATGAGTCTATTGTTTGACTTTTACCTAACTCCCAGTGTTTATGTTGTTGACTCTATGCCTTCTTAACTCCTCCCCTGAGGAAGCCATTAGGACCCAGCAAGAACTGATCAAATGATACTCATTGAAAAAATATTAGCTTCTAAGAAATATGTTGAAAATTTATTTTATTGTAGGAATAAATGATTTTTTTTTCCAAAAAGATTGTGGTTAAAGGAATAAAGAACAGGCCATTCCAAAAGTGAGATGTAACAAAAACTAGGCCTTTGGTGCTAAGAATACCAAGAACCTAACCTTTCTAAAAGTAGTCCCTGAGAGTTATGATGGAAAAGCAACTTGGCAAACAAAACAAAATGGCAACAACAACAACAGCTGAGAATTCCAGAACCTCTTTGTCAGGAAATAGTAAGGAGATTTGATATTTGCTTTCAAAATCAAGACCACACTTTTTGCAATGGTCTCTGCACTTTATTCTCAAAGTAACAGTATTAGGAGTTGAATCTTTTGGGTGGTATTTAGGGAATAAAGGCAGAGATCCCAGGAAAGTAACAGTATTGTGAGAAAATGGACTGATAAAATATGTTTCTTTCTGCTCAGTACACAAGGTCCTTTTTTCTGACATTGGCACAAATTGAAACTGCCAGTTTCTCAAGATCTTTGTGATGGATTTGGGTCATGATTAGAAATTTGTTTCCCATAACCTTCTTACTTGATAATCAGAGTTCAGTCAAATGCAAGCTCTTCTCTGAGCCTACTCTGGCTACCTAACCTACAGTAGCCACATTTATAATATTTCCTAAAATATAATTATCTTTTACTACTTTGCTGAACCCTCTTCATCATCTGATACTTTATCTCATTTGTTGGTTTATTGCTTCATTTATTTTTAATCTGCTTCACACTCTAAAAGTTATTTGATTGGTGGTTTTGCCTACTCAGGTATCATTTAACGATGATCAGAATGATTTTCAGTTTTATGATGAAAGGGATACTAAATATCATGCAGTGAATTGACCAGTTCCTACAACAGACCCAAGCATCCGTAGAGGCTGAGGTTTAGAAACTGTCAGAATAAAACAATATGAAAGCAGGGACCATGTCTGTCCTGTTCATATTTTATTCTCAGTGCCTAGACCAGTTCTGGGCGTGATGGGGTATTAGTTAACACAAAGTAACTACATGTGTAATCAAAGATTAAGGCCTTACTATGATCAAGAATCTGTAGTTTTATTGAAGTACTTGTTGAATATTATGCATGAAGCAATCTAAGTTGATGGCGCTTGAGATCTGTGAAATAAAACAAACATGACTTAGAAATATAATCAGGAGAAACCCTTCTTCAAATACACTTTGTATATAAAGAGCATCTCTGAACAATACAAATGTAGGTCAACATGTTTGCCTTTGAAGAAACATTTCTCTCCTAAGGGAGCAGCTTGATGGTTGTTATAAAAAAAAAATGCTTAAAAGCTATACTACCTCAATTCATGCACCCTCCATCATTCTGTGGCTCTGTGGGTTTGCACAGTGTCCCCAGCTATATTATTTTCCAGATTCATAATTGTAAATGTAGATGGCAATGAATGTATCTTCCCTGTGGGATTGTTTCAAAGATTATATACAAGATAAAATATGCAAAGTACTTAAGCAGAACTTAGGAATCAACAAATATCGTGCATTTTAAATGTATCCAAACATTAAAAGAAACTAGTTCTTGCTATCTAGAGGACCCCTGGGATTCTCAATGATGGAAATATGATAAACAGTATAATCATTAACAGTGAAGAATCAGTGATCTAAAACTATAATATTAGTATACATGCAAACAATAGTAATACAAGAGTGATGATAATAACCTTATATGAAAATATTATAATCTCTCATCTCAACCTAAAACTCTGTCCTTCAAATTCCTAGAACACAGGAGTCAGGCAACAAAGTGAATTCTGGATCCTACCTGGCAGTTAAGCCAGAAGACTGAGCACTCAGAGGAGTTAATTTTGAAAAGCAGTTAACACATATGGTCTCATATGCAGAGGGAGTGAGGCTCCCTACTGCTTGATCTCTGGTGTTAACTTCTTTATATCTTCCTGTACTGCCTTTTGGCAGGTGGACAAAATCAATAGAAAATAATAGGTGGGAAATGGTTGTGTTCCTTGGAGGAATTTCTGAGATAAACGGAAGGCCTTGTAGTTATTATATGACTAATGAATGCTGTTTTCCCTCACTGCACTCAGATGTAGGTAGTGTTATTGAACCTGGCCTTGGCCAACTACTATATTGATTTCCTTTTGTGATTTTAGATTCTATTCTCAAGTAATCTTAACTAAAGACTTGAAATAACAGAAGCAAATCAAATTAGACAAAATGTACACTGGACCTCAGGCTCAAGTTTTAACTGATGATTTTGGTAAAACCTTAGGTTAGATTTTCTTATTTGTTTATTTAATTTTTTATGTCTTGTAATTTTTGCTCTAAATAGTCTTTTAATGATCCGCCATTAATATGTAATAAATTATTTTCCATTTTAAATGACACCATAGAAATATAATTTACATTACTATAACATTTGCCCACTTATTTGTTGTTAGGATTTTTAAAGAATCACACAGCCACCACTGCATTCTAAGTTTGATAATTTAATGATAATGGACTCAAATCTTTTACAGGTCATCATTTCCTCTCCATCCTCCCTTCAAAATTCAGACAATCATGGTGTTGTGGCCTGTCTAGATTGATGCATTTGCACTGGACACTTTCATATAAATTAAATCACACCATATGTTACTACATGAATTGAATTTATTTTGTTGTTTCTCAATCATAAAGTAAGTTAGTGATGCCTGTGAATATAAGGTCATTAAACAATGGTGTTATAATGTAGAATACTATGTGCATGTATACACAAACATTCATATGTCATTGAGTTATACACTCAGAATAAGGAGTGGTGGTTTTTATATGTGCATTATTCTTTGGTTTAAAACCTGAGAAATTCAGCTAACTTTCATATAAAATTCAAACAAATCTTAGTGTTGAAATAGTGAGGAGTTCAATTCAGAGTTTTATTTTGTTTTCTAAAGGCATAATTACTAGTTTAGTATGTTTTTATCTGACTTGAACATTAGAGTGAAGTTAGCAATCAATAAATATGTATCCATATAAATATCTATGATGAACTATGCTAACCTAACAATAGCAAAGTCATAAACAGAGTTTTAGTGTTAGCTATGTTTGTGTCACATATAAAGAGAATAATTTCACATATTATGAACTGTAACTTGAGGTCATCAACGTAGACTTGGGCTTGACTTAGGAACATAAATTATGGATGAAGGACAGAGATTTAAGATATGAAAATCATTTCAAATTAGCTCTAATAACTGGCCAATTTGGACTAAGACATCTTTAAGTAGTATGTATATCAAATAAAAATCCAATAATCACAACAAATTTGCGATATATCCATCTAAAGGGTTCTTAGATCCTACATGTTGATTAATAATGTAGGGATTTAATCTCAGTCAATAGGATTTAAAAGTCATTCTTTATAAATAGTTTAAAGGTATTATTTCATCCTACAGAATTTTAACTGTTATAATGTCATTACCTTACTCTAGTGTCCATGCTAAATGATCTTACTTGTTTCACATACAACTGCATTGATTTTAGAGACAAGATATATAATAGCCTTTTAAATAGACCTATAAATGTAATTTTAAAATTGTTTTTTGAGAAACAGAGAACATTTTCCCTTAATGAAATGTCTGTGACTCTAGTACTTTGATTCAATGAGTGGAAGAATTAGTGAAAGGGAGGTGGAAGCAAGTGTTTCAAAGCTATGAAAAACAGTGTTTCTCAGAAGTCTGTGGTCTAGCCTCCATGCTAGTTGATATGGCACTGACTAAATAAGACATTTTTTATTATGTTATATTTTACTACTTAAAACTATTTGAAATTTAAATATATTTTAATTATATTCTTCTCCTTCCCCAAGTCCTTTCAGATTCTCTTCCCTCACTCAGCTTTAAGTTTTATCTCAACAAACACTAATAAAACAAAACATCCCCCAAAATAAGAAAACAAAATAAGAACACAACTAAAAAG